AGGGTTGTTTGTAAAAATCCAAAGTGCATTTTCATTTCCGTGGCGAAAAAATTGACGCCAGTCCAGTGTGACCCATCACATGGCCACGTATTCGGCACTTCTACAATTTGGTAAGGGGACAGAAAATTGTCCCCTGAGTGATTGCTCCGCTTCACCAGAAAGCCTGGAATTTTTTTCTTCCATATCTCGATAATATTTCCTCTCTGAATGTTTAAAACATCTTACGTTGGAAACCAAGATTTTTTAAAAATAGATTCCATTCTCGAGGATCGTTACAGCGATCCCAACTGAATCAGCCAACAAGCTGAACTGATTTGGGGACAAGACGACTCTTCAGTGGAGAAGGTCTTGCCTATGGTAGTCCTCAAGGAGATCGTTCCGGGCAAGCTGCGCTCCCACAAAACGTTTTTTTGCATATTTAGAGATGCATTTTTGAAACAACGAAACCATGTTCCCTTCTCACTACAAGGTTTTGTTAGTGCCCAGAAAAGTAATGAAATTTCCTTAGTTCGATTCCCGTACATGACCAAATTTTATATTTTTGGTAGGGTAAGATTGACGCCAGATGTCAAAAACAGATGTCATATCGGGACCGGGACCATGCTTGCATCAATCCGTACACGCCAATCCAAAAAAGCGATTTTGCAAGCATCCACAGGTCTTCCAATACTTTTTGGCATTACTAAAATTATTCAGCAAAAAGGAATTGTGAATGGTTTTGTATGAATCTTCATCATATGCAAGAAACCGTTTTGAAAAAGCGGGATTAGCCTTGAACGACCCGCTCGCCCTCCCCCTCCCCATGTAGTGGTATGTATTACCTTTGATCTGGCTCCAAAAAATACACGCCATCTCCTCAAATGAAACCTTTGCCTAAAAAGTGCAGGTACAACTTCTCGTTCAGGGGCCGGATTCAACTCCCCCGAGGAGCTGCAGGACGAAAATCCCTTCGAATTTTCCTCTGTCTTCCCAATTGGGATAAAGGGCCTACATTTAATGTATGTATGTAGGTTAAAGTGAAACATGAAGAAACTACATCGTTCAAAACAAATAAATTTAAAGGGATCCCCAACCCCTTGAGGGAGGTGTCGATAGATGTGCCTAGATTAATGTATGTATATGGGTTGGAGCATAATATCGTAGCGCTTGTATTTTTCATTTCTTCACACAAACATTTGAAGCAAAAAATAAAAACATAAAACTAATCAGTGGTCTTCGCTTCGTCATTATTTACAACTTCGACTGCATTTCGCACGAGATCACCGGACGTAGAATTTCAAAAAAAAATATTGAGCTCACTTTCGGGGTCCTTCTTATTCTCAATTTGTACGAAATTAATAGGGTTCTGACTTAAGCGTAATAGGTGGGGTCGGATAGAGCAAGGTTTGTTTAGGAGAATGGATTTGAAAGAACTTCCAATTCGGCGTTTTTCTTCTTTTTTTCAAACCGAGAAATAGCAGCTGTCGAAACGCCGATTTTTCCTTTTTGGATGGCGCGCGCCGTTAAAAGAACCGTCTGGATTTCCCAACATTCTAAGCTCTAAAACTCAGTACAACTACAGTGTTCAAGAAAAAGACAACCACGGTTTTGTAGAACGAGAAGAGTACTTTCAAATACTATGAGCAGTTTTTTGGAGGATACTTGTACTGACTGGATTTGTACGCTCAAAAAAAAAAACGCTACGATATTATGCTCCAACCCAATAAGATGTACAGATAACATGAAAGAAGAGCTCTCGTTCAGGAACACGATAAATTTACAAAGGGATCCCCAATGCCCGGATCGAGGGAGGATTTGAATCGCGGCCGCCCAGGATTCCCTCGACCGGGGGTGGGTCGACCTCGCCTCAGAGGTTTCACTTCATGCGGGCTCTACACACCGTCCCATGTCTAGCGATGGAGGGTCCAAAACAGCTCTGAGAAATACTTCCGCACACCTTACATGAACTTTCTTCCGAGCTTTTTGATGGGTTTCACAAGTAATGAAATGGCGTACCCTAGTGGGGTCGCATTCGGCGAAGAGTAAACCAATAAACTTGGTTATTACGCCGTGACTAAGACGACTATCTCTGACGTTTCTGACATCACGCTAAGAATCTAATGAATACAAACCACGTTTTCTCTTCGGCAAGCATAACAATCTATCTGTTCGGGGGATAGTGAGAGATATGTCGGCGATAACTGTCTCGAGACAATGGGCGACAGCAGACGGATAGCGGTGGCACACGTGACTACACACTCTTTGCCCTTCGTACTTTGACACCGACGTCATCCGTGAGCGGGTGCCGCCCGTTGGTGTTGTCGAGTGCAGTCAGCACGTGTTGATTGATGCACGTCCATGCGTCAAGTAAACTACTGTGCAGGAATTATTAACAGCATTACACCAGTGACACTTGAATGTGGGTATTTGTAAAGAGTAGTACTATATTCGATCAATGACTTGTCATGATGTCCCAAATAATAAATGATAAGAACGCTATCGATGGCAGTTTGCGGACGTCCGGTATCACGTGCCCCACTGTCTTGGTGTTGATAAAGCGTCACGTACGCTTTGTATATCGAGGAGAATCGACTGTGCAATGAAATCTCCGAACAAAGGCGGCACGGTGGCCGTGAAGCACCAGCTGCACCTCGTGGAATTAGCGCGACCAAGCCAATCAAGCCTGATATGTGAGGTCGCCACGGCCGCATGTATTCTCTGGCCATGGGCGCAGCAAAACGCTGATCCTATTGAATCTGGTCCGTTATTGTCGTTGGCAGCTGAACGGCCCTGACCCAGAGAGTCGCAGCAACCCCTTTCATCCCTTTCCGTTCGGTCATTCTGCCAGCCTTGCTGAGAGTTATGAAAGCTTGAGTATCCCATTCACATTCTAATCCATCCATTCTGAATTAGGGGTAGACGTTTAGTGCACGGCGAGTCCGGAAAGCATCCGCTTTATCCTCTTCCTTCAAAAGAATTTCTGCTTGAAAAATGGTTATTCGTGTTGTTTCGAGCATTTCGTTCTGTAATGGTGATGCTTCTGCATTTGTTTATATAAAATCTGGCGCTATCGCAATATATGGGGGCATCTCTTCCTTGACTAAGTTCAGGAGAGGGAGGAACCCCAGGGAGATGAAAATGGCTCACCTCACTCTGGGAGTCTCTCTACCGAGGTGTCAACCCTACGTTGTTAACAACGGGGGGTCGTACTCAGTTGAGCTTGGAGGGGGGTCGTACTCTCTCGGTGGCCGGCAGTGGGATTCTTGGTAATATCGGATAATAGCCAGCACGTTACGTTTTCGTAAGATGACTGATACTAGAGCATCTATAAACCACGCTTCCCTCTAAATGAGCTTTCAAATGAATCAGCGAATTAGAAGGGCGCCCGAGGCGTGGCGCGCACCAAGGCAAGGGATGTAGTGCAAGCGCATGCTCGGAGCTTTCTAGCACATCCTAAGTTAAACATGACATTGGTCTTCCAAGAAGTTACGGGCAGTGAAACCTAAGAAAACCCGCGTTTTCGAGAAAATGGCTTGAAGAATACCCCTCAAAAAAAGTAACAACGGGACTAATTTTTGAACTGCTGATCTTTCAGGAACGTTTGGGTGCTCGTTAGAAAGCTTCTGTAGTTTGTCATACCGTGTTCAGCTTCCCAAATGAATGACTTTGAAGGAAGTTATGATCGTTTGAAGGTAAAAAAGTCGCGGTTCCAAAAAAATAGTAACGCAAACCCCCAAAAAAGTAACAACGGGACTAATTTTTGAACTACTGATCTTTCAGGAACGCTTGGGTGCTCGTTAGAAAGCTTGAATCCTGTAGTTTATTATACGTGTTCAGCTTCCCAAATGAATGACTTTGAAGGAAGTTATGATCGTTTGAAGGTCAAAAAGTCGCTTTGCACAGAAAAAGTAACAACGTACTAAATTTTTATTAAATTAACTTTCGAAGAATTTTTACCCATGGTTGGAGAGAGAATAATTTGAATTTTCCAAATCAAATCACTTCGGCGCAGAAGCTCGAATATGAAGGAAGTTATAGCCTTAGAAAGAGGGGTGTAAAAATTGTGTTGCAATTGAAGAACGTGAAGGATTTCAGTATTTCAATTGGAGCGATAATTTTTCTGACTTCTTCATAAGTTTTTATCAGGTAATATTGTCAATATTCCGGTCACTGGTTCAGTTTATTTCATCTCCTAGTTTGGTAACCCTTTGGAGTACACGGATATCTTTGAATGCATCTCATTTTTTCGTGTTTGGAAGCAGCGATGAATATCTGTCGTGGATTTTGCTAAAGTTTCATCTTTGATGACTTACGTAGAAATAAATATTGATGGTAAACACTGTCTCTACACAAGTGTCACATACAAGGGGGTCGTATCAAATCACCCATGAAGGGGGGGGGGGTCGTAAAAAATTTCCAAAGAGTAACAACGATAGGGTTGACCCTGCCCCAACCCCCCCGCCGCTCAAGGTTCAGTCCCGTCCTTACAAAAAGGACATGTCTTAGGCGGTTTCAAATCCATTGCCACCACAGTGCCTCCGTATCTTACGATAGCGCCTAAATATTTTGATGTGTAAACCAGTACCACGACTGAATTAGGGTCAACATCCCAGATTCCTTACCCGGCTTCTTGTTCCGCTCTCCTCCATCGCTAACTCAAAACCATGCCCCAACTTTTTCCCAAAGAAATTCCACTGAGACGAGGCGCGGAAGGAGTACACATTTTTTTGAATAGAACGGAAATATTTTTAGATTTAAGTGGAGATTCATATCAAAATTCCGCAAATTTCAATAATTTTTTTCTTTGAAGAATTTCTTGCATCTCACTGAGGAATCTGCACCATTACTACTGGTAAGTAGATTTTTGTTTAGTATCAAGTGAATTTTTTCGTTTATTTTTTTCATGATCTACTTACCAATCTCTACCCTCCCTTGCGAGAAGACACTGCTAGTTCCACGAAGAACGAACCGCATAGTTTGGTGACTTGGATGGAAGCGAGAAGAATTGGATTTATACTTAGAAAAAGCGTTCAAATAGACACCTTTGTGATATGTCCGAAGGTAACCTTGAAATTCGCGTTCGAATTGGAAAGGGCAAGTTCCGACTCGTCCTTGACCTTGGCTGCTATCGCCATACTTCGGAAGTTCCGCGTTCTATTAGGCCTTTGATTTTGCACCCGGATAAAGCATCTGGCTAATACATCATCGCTACACCAGTGGGACCAATTATGGACCCGCATTCATGGCGCGATCATTGGTGTTTGATCTTTGGCGTCTTCTTATCGGCAGACCACACTGCGAGATCTGCGCTCTCTCTATGTGTGTGGCCGCCGTCAGTGCAACGAATAGTTGTTTGGTGTCGGTGCGACCCGCCCCAATCTCGCGCTGTACTTTGTACCCTGAATGTGTGTGTGGGGGATGTACTACGTACGCTATTCCGTTCAGTTTCCAACTTCTGTTTCGGCTGCTGCTTGTATACTGACGCGATTCGTTTCTGACACACGTAACACCCGTTACCCATTGATCACCGCCTTGTTTACGTTCTTCAGTGTTGCAGGCATCGTCGCCGACCCCAGTCGCCTCCTGTCTCCTTCGCCGACAGCTACTGGCCTTGTCTACTCCACCACCAGTGTAAAAAGCAGCACACTTTCGAACACCAACCATGGCTGAGGCACATAGTGCTGTTGCACTCTCGTTCACTGGTGAGTTGTGGGCTTTTTTGACCAGTAAAACATCTACCCTTTACCCCTTAAAAATCTTCAGTATCGTTGTAATCTTGATCTAAGACTGTCTCATGTTGCCAATAATCAATTCGTGATTCGCTTAATTGCCTATTATTTACCTATCTCAACCCACCAGATAATGCGCGAAATCAATAATAGCGTAATATTGGACCTACACAGGATCATGGATCCTGATCCTGTAGGGAGTACTGTAAAGAGCCCTAACTAAGGCACAAACTCTCTTTTTACGCCGAGTGATTGGGGGTATTGGTATACCATATCTAGCAAAATGCGAACTCATTTGTAACCAATTCCTCGAAGTTAACAAGTTCTTGAGATATCTGGCAAGTGTAGGATCAATAAAAGGGCTATAATTAAGTGCTTCTGGACCCTATGCATTGTCGATGATTAAATTGTATTCGTTTATTAAGACAATATTCATCCGTCACAATTAATTTCAAGAGAAAACAGAACAGATGTTTCTTCACTAGTAATGAAAAATTGCTCGCGATCTCGCATTAAGCGCGTACTGATCTGTGGGCGAAAGGATTGCAGATTTTGAAAATTCTCGCAATGCCAATGTGCCTCTGCCTCGGGGGGGCAGTCGCCGCGCGCGCTCTTGCGGCAACAGGAAATTCGTGAGCCAGGGGGAGTGTAGCCAATTCAGGGGGGTTGGGGGTGAGGGCAGTCACATGACATGCGTGAGAAGCTGGAATGTTCGAATTTCCTGTTGCCGCACAGCCGCGCGCGGTGACTGCCCCCCCCCCCCCCGAGCGCCACATAGCGCTTTTTCTCATACAATTATCAGGATGCAATTTTGCACGAATGGCGGTGAGCTTCGCAGATTATGAAGATCTCTAAGGACTAATGGTAAGGCCAGGGGGTCAGCTCAGAGAAAATTGAACATTGTCCGTCCTCTAATGTTTCTTCTCCTCCGCTAAAGGCTATGGTTAAGTCCCGTTTCGACACAGATTTTACTGGTCTTGAGTGAATTCTACCCCAATGCCACCTGCTGTTGCTATACGATGTCATAGTTTGCGAATCGAGCGATTCGCTAGCGAATCGCTCGATCCGAGCGTTGCGCCAGCGAATCGAACGTTGCACCAGCGAATCGAACTTTGCGCCAGCGAGTCGAACGATGTACCAGCGAGTCGAACTAGGTACCAGCGACTCAATAGTGGCGGGACCCAACTTTAAAGGAAGCCCGCCACTTTCAAACAGTGTCACGTGACAGTGGACGCTGTTTGAAAGTGGCGGGACTTTGCAGTGGGACACTGTTTGAAAGTGGCGGGCTTCCTTTAAACGTTGGCGCCACTTCGAGTCGCTGGTACCTAGTTCGATTCGCTGACCAACCCTCGGCTTGTAATCGGCACCATATGTACATCGCCTATAGGGCTGAAAGGTGCAAAGTGCCACAAGGGGCATTGCTGCAGAAAACGCATTCAACTGCGTAAACTCGCCTCTTTCGAGCGCCGTCACTGGTCTTGGGGGGGGGGGAGAACCATTTAAAACATGCATGAACAGTATTACACCGATTACTAGGACTCAAGCCGCGGGAGTGGAAACGCACGGGTAAGCGAAAATCGCATCGCATCCTCTTCAGAATCCTTCCCCTTCTATGAGCTCAAGTCTAGGATCTGCAATGACTCCTAACTGATGTAACCCCTCCCCTCACGTGGCATGAGCTCCCCCTTTTGTTATAACCGTCAGTAACAATAGACCAATCTTATGAGGACTGAGAGCTCCAAGTTTTTGAGCGTATCTCATTTTCTTTGAAGTTCCTCCCTTCACCTAGGCTTAGTTTTAGAAGATTTCCTCCCATATTCCGATAGCGACAAAAAATTTCCAATATGGCGAAGAACCTGTGTGGGGCGGGGTGGAGGGAACTCGAGCCTTTAAAAAATGCTTTAAAATATATTGCCTGCTCCAGCCAAGCTGCTTCAAAAATAAAGTAGAGGTTGATATTTTGGTAACTTCAATGAAAGGCCTACGTTTTCACGGGAAGGCATGTCTAAACAGGTTCTCACATGGTGTCAGCAATGAGTTTCGAAAACCTCGCAATAAACCTCTCTGTTTTCCATCCTTTCAACGGGCCTTATAATCCTTAGTTTTTTTAACACCTACTTTTCGTTATCGCAATATACAGGGGCATCCTCTATTTCGTTGTCCTACTTGATGCAAAAAACTGAATATCTGCCGTTACTGTGAAATGGACTTGGAAATACTCTCACGATACTCACATATACTCCCTTTCAAAAAACGAGAAGAGCGTCGGGTGCAGACCATACACCACAAGTGACGACGGCCTCCACAAAATGTAAATGTTTTCTGCCAATGAAATGATTAGCCTGTTGCAGTTGTATTCTATCAGTTGTCACTAATTACAACTATCATTTAAAATCAGCTATCACTATGAACCACTACTAACCAGATTTACTTGGAGGCCGTCGTCAGTTGTGGTGTTTGGTCTGCACCCGACACTTTCTCGCTTTTTGACCATCACTTTTTCATATTTTTTGGTCATGTAAATGTCACATCTCACGATATTGTTTTGCGATTCCATGGGTGAGAGAAAGAACTGGAATTGTTGTTACGAGAATCAGAATCTGGGGCGCTATACAATAGTGGGCACGCCGCTTTTTTTGAAGTACTGTCACGAGAATCGGGGAATTCGTGAGCCAGGGGGAGTGTAGCCAATCTAGGGGGGGTGAGGGCAGCCACTTGACATGCGTGAAAAACTGGGTGTGCCCACCCCACTTGTATAGCACCGAAAATGGTTGTTGGCAACTTTAATGGGTTTACACTGTTTCCAATTATCCCCTGAACATTAGATTCAGTCTGTTCTTTGCGTTATAGAGCAATGGTTTCGAATGTGAAAAAAAAAGGTTGTGGATATTGTTTCAGCTTTGTTTCCCAATTATGTAGTAGTGAACAAATGCAAGCAAACACTCCAGTGGATAGTGAAAGAAGGCGTCTTTCATCTTTCAATTTGTCACTGCCATCTCTCTTCGGAAATAAATCAAATTGCAAAACATTTGTTTCGCACTTCTCCAGTTCTTCGACTTTCCGATTCTGCCATCTGATCAATGAATGGGTGAAAATCTATTTTTATTTAGTTGGGAGATGCGGCGGGGGGGGGGCGCAATCCTTGTTACTCTCATCATTAGTCCTAGAGAAGGCTCCTATTGCGGCTTTCTAGACTAAGGCAAAGATGACCAAGTGATGACGCCTTTGAAGCCACTTCGCACTGTCCTCACAATCTATCCAATTTTCCTACACAGGTCAACAATCACCCTGGCGCTTCTCATTTTCTATAAAAAAAAAAAAAAAAAAAAAAAAAAAAAAAAAAAAAAAAAAAAAAAAAAAAAAAAAAAAAAAAAAAAAAAAAAAAAAAAAAAAAAAAAAAAAAAAAAAAAAAAAAAAAAAAAAAAAAAAAAAAAAAAAAAAAAAAAAAAAAAAAAAAAAAAAAAAAAAAAAAAAAAAAAAAAAAAAAAAAAAAAAAAAAAAAAAAAAAAAAAAAAAAAAAAAAAAAAAAAAAAAAAAAAAAAAAAAAAAAAAAAAAAAAAAAAAAAAAAAAAAAAAAAAAAAAAAAAAAAAAAAAAAAAAAAAAAAAAAAAAAAAAAAAAAAAAAAAAAAAAAAAAAAAAAAAAAAAAAAAAAAAAAAAAAAAAAAAAAAAAAAAAAATAATGGCAGTAGCCTCCCCCAACTAGCGATTTTCACCCAAAACATACGTGCGGCTGTATCTAGTCCTTTTCGCTAATACTTCCCGTCAAAATTTTTATTGCACTTGTTTCTTCCCGAGAGTTGTTCTCTCCAGAAAAACTGAGCACCTAAAATGGTAACTAGCTACTTGAAGACACGTCAGTTTAGTGCCGATAGAGTGATTCTGGCTTAGCGAATGTTCCCACGAGGTCTCCCTTGCTCACTGTAAAATAACTCTGTCATTGTCGCTTTCTCGAAAGTCGGTGCTCGAAGGGTGCTTTGGTTACGCTTCACATGCTTCCGTTATGTTCAGGGCGGCTGTTCCAGAATCCACCAGAGTGCTAGCATTTCGTTGGGTAGCGAGTTACTGAAGCAAGTGTGAAGATACCTTGGCTTGGTGCACGTCTTTCCTATTAAATGATGCCTGCAGGTCGAAGCCAAGTGCGTCTCGGGGGACTAGGGTCAGACGGTGGCGTTTTGGCACTGCCAACGCGGGGGAGGGGCGTATTTTCCGCTGGTTTTTCAGAGAGAGGGTCGTTAGCAAGGGCTCTTCTAGCGATTAGATGTTAATGGGGTTATGAAACCCTTCTAATTAGGGGGCCGGTCTTTTTTTCGATTGGTGAGCCAATAAGAACGCTTGAGCTGACTCCAACTCATTGGTAGGCGATGTCAGATGCGCGAATCGCCGCGATTCGCTACTCAGGCACTCATTCAACAATAGTAGGCGAATCGCACGATTCGCGAGGCTAGCGTACGCGTCGGTTTGCAGGTCCAAGCCCATCGAGCGACTCACTGGTCGCGAGGACCGCTAGCCGAAATCGCAGCGCAGGTTCGCACAAGTCTGGCATCGGCAGTCGATTACTCACGACGGTGCGGCTGTACTAAATTCTGCTTGACAGTGAAGAATTGAAAGACGAACTGTTCGATATTCTACTTGTTTCATGTTCGATGTCTATCAGTTCATTGAAATGCTCATGATTCGGTTCGCAAAAATTGCAAGTGCCCCATTTGAACAATTGAAACACTGAATATCAAACAAGTGGATAATCGGCGAGGCGCGCAGCGCACTATCAAGCAGAAGTGGGCGAGCATTGCGAGAACACCTTGCAGTATTTTCGCACGGGATTGTGGTATACCGTGGACCCTTGAGCGAAAACTCGGCTGAAATCAGCGAACCTGGGCGACCGCATCCGCGGATTCTGGACACCAGGGGCGGTATTCAATCCTTCCCCCAGGGGGATATATCCCCCTACTCTGATTCAATCCTCTGGGGGGACAAAAAAGGGTTGCGTCATAGGACCTCGCATACCTCTGTGTTTCTACCTGCCAGACAGTTAGAGCAGCGCGACCCCTCAGGGGAAAGAGTGCTTCATCAGTGGAGGGTAGTAGCGCTGCTCTAACTGTCTGGCAGGTAGAAACACAGAGGTATGCTAGGTCCTATGACGCAACCCTTTTTTGTCCCCCCAGAGGATTGAATCAGAGGAGGGGGATATATCCCCCTGGGGGAAGGATTGAATACCGCCCCAGGATAGGGACGGCGAAGACAATAAGTCGAGTCAGAAGAAGTATCGGTAGTAGCCGCAAGTACGACAGTTCAACGGAGTGGAAGCTGTGGGTTTTCTGTTTAACAAGCATAATTTTTTTAATTTGAGGCTGTACTAGTAGAATAACAGCCATACTTGTTCGGCACTGCCCATCCACACTTTGGAAAAATTTCTATGTCGGATGTGTTATATCTACAAGGCTGCTCAAATCTGAAGAACTTGTTTGTTGGCCTTTCTTTCGAATTTGTAGATGTTTCAGCTCAACTCATACGGTGTTTCGCGTTCAGTACGAATCAAGACGCTTCTTTCGGTGACATTTGGTCTTGTCCAAAGCGTGAGATATAAACCGGGAGAATCGGTGCGTTTAACGGTCACTGGCGATTTTCTTTAATAGTTTGTGCTTCCTAGCACAAGCTTCTGTTTTCAGAATAACTTCATGGCGGGTATGTTCCCAGCGAATACCACCACCATTTCCATAGTTATTGGAGCCATCTCTCTATTTTCTATATATCGTAGGGATTTGTCCTTTGGCATATTGCCGTTCATCGAATATCACATTCTCTACTATTTGTTTGGGTGAGCTCACTATTACCATGCGAATTTTTTTGGATGAATTTCTATTGTACTTTTTAGCGATGGTATCGTCGCATTTTGCATTTCGCTTCTGATTTCGGGATGCCTTGTTTGGTTCGTGCTCGTGCAGCTGATGCGATTGAGCATCAAGCTCTTGCTGTCTTATAAGGAGGATGGATGTACGAAGCACCTGGGAACCATATGCGAAAACGACAAAAGTTGTGGCTTGTAAGTCCGTATTAGGATCGATTTGTAATTATGTTATAGCATTAGTATTCTTCGGGGGAAGTGTTTAGTGGCCAATGGCCGCTTTACACCATTGCGGCGAGTCGGCGAATCAAATCCTGAGTCGCCCGGGCCAACCAAGCCTTCCATCCCTCCGGGGTCGGTTAATTGGTACCAGACTTGTCTGGGAGGATAAAACACTGACTTGTACATCGGCTGGCCCCCGCAAGTCATTGTATAGGCCACATCGCATTCAAACGCCACTACGAATGTACAAATGGAAGTAGAAGTGGGGGGGGGGTGGGCGTGGGGCGCATGCCAAAGAGGAAGTGTTTGGGGAACGGCAAATGTTATTTTATGCTTTATGTGTGTTTTACATTCTGTGACTTCCTCGAGGGGAGTTCTCCTGAAGCTATGGCGAAGGCGGGTTGGGACCGGTGCTGCAGGGCGATGAGGAGCTCTGGCCTCATTTTGCCTCGTTCCGATCACATAGGGTTGCTGAGACGCCTGGGAAAAGGGATGGTTATTATGCAGACTATTTTAAATGCATATTTGTTGTACCGTGCACTTGTCATGCATGGCTGTAGGAGTCTAGCGTTCGGAATGGGGGGCCCCAGGATGGACATGACGAGGCAGGTTGCCTAGGTTGGAAACTCTTCGAGAAATTTTTCCGCGAAGGCGTGTTGGACGTCGTACTATCAGGCGGGATAACTTCAGCTCAAGTTTGGGCTGACAGCACCAAACTATGAGTTAGTATTTGTTTTTTTATAAGTGAACTGACGATAATTCGGGCAAGTTGGTGGAAGGTCGAGGGGGGCTGATTGGTGGGAGGGGAGTTGGGTGCATGCGGGTCGAACGCAGTTCTATTTATTGATAACAGCAACTACACGGTGTACGACGCTCTTACTAGATTTCATTGAACTTGAGAAAGTGGAGCTATGCTTCCATTTAACTCTTCTAAGGTTACACACTAAGGACGGGGACCCAACGGGATAACCAGGGTGGCGCGCGCTGCGACTGTCACTGGGTATGGTGCTTATGCAGTTCTCCGGCGACAAAGTTGAGAGAGCGGAGGTTTCCCGGTAAGGAGTGACATTATTTTTCATTGCCTTCATTCTCTTCATAAAAGCAGAGCGAACCCTTCCTCCTCCTCATATCTTTCTTGAAAATTTGTTATGCTAACTAATAGAATATTTGGGGCACTATTCAACTATTACAACCCCAAAATCTCAAAATTTTATTTTTCGTCGAAACTTCCTCTATAGGGGTAATTCGGTGCCCTGATTACGAAAATGACATTCATTTTTGGCGGTGGCGCCATCTGGCGCCAGTTGGCGCCACCTTGTCACGACACATGTTTTCACCAAATTCGGTGTAAACTTCTGTATAGGGGTTATTTGGATGTCCTGATTACGAATATGACATTCGTTTTTGACATTAGCGCTGTTTACCGCATACTTCCCGCTTTTCTGGGCTCTCTCACCTATACATAGCGCCTTGGGACTAAGCTTAGGGGATAGGGAGACTCGGAATGAGTGAATCAGGCACCGTGTGACGAAGATGGAGCGTGTGAGATCACAGGGTAGGGGGCTCACTCACTGATATCTTTCCTCTCTCCTAAAGCTTAGTCCTGATCGCGATCTAGTCACTAGGAGGGCGCAGACGAAGAGATTAAAGCGCTAAATGGAGCTAGCGCCAAGAATGAATGTCATATTCGTAATCTGGACACCAAATAACCCCTACCCAGAAGTTTACACCGAATTTGGTGAAAACAACTGTCGTGACAAGGTGACGCCAACTGGCGCCAGATGGCGCCAAAAATGAATGTCATTTTCGTAATCAGGGCACCGAATTACCCCTATAGGCAAAGTTTCGACGAAAAATAAAATTTTGAGATTTTGGGGTTGTAATAGTTGAATAGTGCCGAATATTTAACGATACATCGGTATCATAGGAATGGTTTGGTTATTTGACATTTGTCAGAAAGGACAAAATCTGCGCAAAAAGTTTATCACAGATCAATTATGCCTACGTCACTGTTGATTTTCAGTTTTCGGTCTCTCCACAGTCCAAGGTTCCCTTCTGTACTATGCAATATGAACGTTTATTCAATAGCTGTCGCGTTCCTGGAGAAGAGGTAATGGTTGCCAGTGATTCGAATATTCTACATATTTTCTATTTTATCATACTTCGCTTGCTTGTGCAACCAGTTTCCATTACCGACTATAGAAACCTTCATTAATACAATAGAATCCTCCTAAGATTAATGCGATCATGACTGAATTTCCTTTTTTGTTGTTTTTGCTTATCAGAAATGCTAACTGAACTTTCCAGTGTGACAAGTTCTTCCACTGGGATGATGCAAAACATGTAGCAGTTTACAACAGGGGATGCTGGTTCAAGGTCATCGTACACAATGGAAAACGGTCTGTTTTCCTTACAGTATCACTACCCGTACACAAATACGGAGCTACAAGTCCAATTCACTATTCCATTCAGTTATTTGGAAGCTTGCGAATTACAAGTGCAATTCGACGCAATCTTAAATCAGGAGATTGCACCGCATCCAGCCGAGGTAAATTCCATCCCTACATTTTCCAGAGATAAGGAGAAAGAGCATTTTGATTCAAGGAAAAGCTGGCAGTGTTGACAGCGGGAGAACGTACTCATTGGGCCAAAACTCGCCGCGCCTATCTTCGCTCCGGTATCAATAGAACAAGTCTCAATGACATCGAACGTGCAGCTTTCGTTGTCATTCTCGACGATGAGGAGGTCTCATATGACAAAGTGAGTGAATCTTTTTAAAGTATTTAGAAGAGTTTTAGTAACCTGCTTAGTCCAGTAGATGTCGTTTTCTGTTCGTGGCAGAAAGGCAAGTATTCCGATGGTTTATCATCCCTTGAAGTACTGTGTTTCACATTCATTGCAATTTTGGTTTCAGAATGACTCCAGTAAGTTGGATCGGTGGGCGCACAATCTTCTTCACGGAAAAGGCTATAATAGATGGTTTGACAAGTCCTTCAACATAATCGTTTCTAAAAATGCGCATGTGGGAGTGAATACGGAACATTCTTGGTACGTTCTTGTCGTGCAGTTTTTCTTCACGCCCTTTGGTTCTTTAAAAGTGTGACTACACAATTCTTAGCTAACTTGTGATTATATTTTTGTAATTTCGTTCGTATTAATTTATTTAGTTTTTTCATGACAATTCATTTCAGGGGAGATGCGGCAGTGACCGCCCATTTTATGGAATGGATGCTTCTACACGATATAATGCTCACAGGATATGATGAAAATGGCAACACAAAAGGCGAACCTTCTCTCCGCCTGAAGCCTGAGCGACTCAAGTGGGAAATTCCGGAACCGGCAGTGGTGAATACATACTTTTCAAATGTCCTTCGCTTCCTTTTTCGTTTTTCCAATAAAATTGTTTGCGTTTAATTAATTTAATTGCGTCTAACTTTCAGGCAGCCATTGAAGTTTCTATGAAGGTTGCGCAAGCGCTAATCGACGACGTTGAAATGGCTCTTTTGGTCTGGACTGATTATGGCAAAGGATTTATCAAGAAATTGGGTGTTTCCCCTGATGCTTACCTTCAGATGGTTCTGCAATATACGTACTACAAGGTATCTTCTATCGCATGCCATCATATCTCATATTGAACTTGTGGAATCTCGCTTAACTTTCGCCCTGTTGTGTTACTCTAGTTCAGAGTAGGCATTTTTTATATTGTTCAATTTTTCTATCGGTCGATTTTGGAAAGACCTTAGGAGATGAATAGCACCGATTAATTGTATTTGTTAAGAATCAACAAAAATTCTGCTTAACCTATGAGGCCTCAATGACACGCCTCTATCGCGAAGGTCGCACTGAAACAGTGCGGTCATGCACAACCAAGTCTTCGGAATTCGTGCTTTCCATGCTCGACCCGTCAAAAACGGTAAGATAATGTTTCACGCGTTGTAAATGTTTTCATGGAAAATTGTTACTCAAAGATGGTAAATTTTGTCACCATTTATAGCGTGACGAGCGCCTTGCACTTCTGAGAAAGGCATGTGATTATCATCAAGAACTATATCGAGATGCAATGTGTGGAAAAGGTGTCGACCGTCATCTGTTTGCATTGTAAGTTCCATTTGTATCTCGTCTTCGTTACATTATTTTCTATTTATGGTGGACACAGGTGAAAAAAGTCGCTTTAATCTAGATATGTGATCAAACGATACCTCGAGGAAGAGTCACCTTTCTTTGATCGGGTTTTCCCTCCCACGTACCTTTTGTCTACTAGTCAAACTCCTTTGAATCAAGTGGATTGTGAAAAGTATGGCATGAATGCTGAGCAGAGAATGCGACTGACTACTGCTGGTGGTAAGTGCATTTTTCTTTCAAGTTCTTTAAGCTTGCCTGCTGCAACAATGATCAAGACTTCACACGAATATAACTACAAATTCTTTCATTGTCGACATAATATCCGTTTTGCCATCTGGTTATGGCTATTGGTCAGAGAGAATTTCATCGGTGTGCGCGGCGAAGAGCCACATGTTTAATCCGCAGCGGTTTTACGTGATGACGCTCCCGTCATTTGAAATAGCCCATCCTTATGGCTTACATAATTTTTGTGACTGAATCAGTAAAAATATGCGCATTTTTGTGGTTTTCTGTCGACATATGGCAGCGGTCACACCATGCTACTTTCTTGCAGCTCATGTGTAAAGTGGTCGCGGATCGTGTAGGTCACCTTTTTGTCATCATTCTTGCCCGCACATCTCGCCTTCGAACTGTTGGCTCACTCGTGTCCTTGGGTTTCACATATTACTTTAGCTAGGACTTGTCTTTTAGAACGTAATTCGTGAAGTTTCTTTTGGCTCAGGCGCGAGAAACATTAACTTTTTTCACTTGGGTCCTCTCTTATTGAGGCAGGGCATACCGCCGATGGTGCAAGGGGTTTGAACGCCGCTGGATCAAGGCTGTCTAACTATCGGGAATGTAGAAACGCAGAGTATGGCTTGTCTTATGACGCAACCGCCTCCCGCAACCCTTGAATATCGTTGAAGGGCGTCATCTGAGGGAAAGTTAGTATACGACCTAAAGGTCTGGGATCGCGATCTTTGTGGTCTTGCGAGCATAAGGCTGACACTGCATCGCAAGATCGCAAAATATGATTACCAACCAGTTGCCACGTACCCATTCCTGTTCTCTTTCTTAGGTGCGTTTCACAAATGCTGCTTAGAAGTCTCGATCGATAAATTTATCTAACAGTTCCTATCAAAAGTTGGCCTGCGGATTCCGTAATAGAACTACAAATGATTCAATGTTGTGACGGTCTATTCATGGCAGTGTTAAGCTTATGCTCTTCTCTTTTCCGTTGGCAAGCTATGCTAGTCTCTTCTTAGGTGCGTTATCACAAATGCTGCTTAGAAGTCTCGATCGATAAATTTATCTAACAGTTCCTATCAAAAGTTGGCCTGCGGATTCCGTAATAGAACTACAAATGATTCAATGTTGTGACGGTCTATTCATGGCAGTGTTAAGCTTATGCTCTTCTCTTTTCCGTTGGCAAGCTATGCTAGTAATGCACAGAGAAGCGGTTGTCGGTAAATGCCTATACCAATGTGCTTCCTTTCAGGTGGTTTTGGACCTGTCGCAGATCGCGGTTATGGAGTGTCCTACATTGTTGCTGGGGAACACCAAATTTCATTCCACATTTCCAGTAAACGATCTGCTGATAATACGGTACTTTCTACTCATGACTATACTTATACTATGCTTCAAGGTACTGTCTGCATGTTGTATCTCACTGCGATTTCTACTCGTTTAGAGTTCGAAAGAATTTCGTGAGGAGCTGAAGAGGTCACTGAGCGACATGCATGAGCTATTCGTTGGCGACGCAAAATGAATCTATGCGGCACTGTATGTGTATAACTTGTTTGACTCACTGCCCTTTGCTCTCGTTTTTTGCTGTAAATACTTCCTACATACTCATCTCTTTTTTGTGCCATCATTTTTTGAGAGTTAATCATATTTCGCTGTGTGAAGGCCTTTGTATGTCTTCTTTCATTTTTAGTCACAGGTCTAATTTTCCACTTTTACGGTAAATGTGCTCAACCTCTTACTAATGCATCCTTGCTGTCGAATTTTTTTTATGTTGCCTAAGATTTGGAGTCACCGTATCACAGGTACTTTTTACAATGTTATGTTTGTGCATAATTCATGTGTAGCTCTAGATTTTCGAGATAGTGAGATTCTGTGTTGATGAATTTCAAGATGAACGCCTTCACAAAAAGGGATATATTTATATATAATTGTAGCAGTCACTGTTAAATAAACATATGTGAAAACTGATAGGCTCTCCTTCTCACATTAGAGTTACCTCCTCCCAGATTAATCTGGTATCGATTGATCGAATGGAATGTATGGAGGGAACCTTGATTCTGAGAAAGAAATCGCGCAGTGCGATGGACAGGTCGCCTCTGCAGTTGTCATGGTAGTGGCTGATTTCGAATATGTAGCCGTATTTGATTTCTACGGTATAAACACCTCTGAATCGTTCTGTTAGGCGTTTCGTTGATTACGATGAATAAGTGGACAAGAGAGTAGCACAAGGGGCGAGCGGCTTAGGTTACACAGGGAAATTCAAGGAATATCGTAAGGCGCAATAATCACTTCAGTTTCTTTGACTGTCTCTGCTTACTGTCACCTTGGAGAGTTAGACCATGTCAATGTGCATGCCGGTAAGAGTTGCTAGACGTAGTGGGGAAAAGAAGATGCTCGGATTCTAATCATACGTGCAGGTGTGAATGAAGGGTTTCAGGGTACCCATCGTACCATCGAAAAGAGCAGAAAAGGCGCATGTTTCAAGGTCCCTAAAGGGTGCGTTGATTTTGGCGACCGCTGAAGGAAAAGATAAATAGAAATCAGGGGGGGGGGGGAGTTTCATGGGAGTGACACTAGTCTAAACGACGCATCAATTATCGAATGAACCCTTGTTTTCTTTCAGGTACAGTGAATGCGAATCACCAGTAGCTTACGCTCTTTGGTTTATTTTCATAATTTGCCTTATGGTCAAATGAGCTGAGAACTGCTGTCGCAGCCAGCTGCCGCGTTCACTCCGGCTTTTATAACCGAAGCAGAGGAAGCAGAACTCTTGAAAGAAGTGGAACCTCACATGAAGAGATTGCGCTACGAAAAGAATCACTGGGATGATGTAAGTTGTTTGATTTTTTTTTGAAGGACTCTAGTACGAATTGTCGAAGTCGGCTAACCTGCATTGGTTGGCGGCCCAAGGCTTGCGCACCCCCCCGCTATTTTGTAGCCTCTCATCGAATGGACGTGGATTTACAAGTTTCAGTTTTTCGAATATGCCTAGTGACTCGTGTTCTCACCCGCTACCGCCTACATTCTTTATGGCTCAGCGATTCATTAATAATTTTGCCATCTCGCGGAGCCACGACCGCGCTCACACAACGCACCGCGTAAAGTAATGCGCCACTAAACTGTTCCCCAGCAAAAAAAAAAATCTTCCGATATTACTTCGTAAATAATTCATTATACGCAGCTTACAGGAAGGTCTTTCAGGGCGTGACAAGCTTTTTGAAAACGGTCTTTTGCATGATATAGGGGCAGATGCGGGAACCACAGAACCATGTTCAATTTTTCCTGAACGGCCCTCTGAATACCAGAAAAGGAGGTCCCTAGTTCGATTCCTCGTGGTAACACTCGTCATAACTTCGTATAGCCATTTCGAGTTGACGTTGACCACAAATCTCGCGCAAAATGGAGTTAGCATGAATAATCAGTACCATACTCATGATTAGGACCGTCAGTAACCCTTACAAATAGACTTTGATTAAAAAACTGGTGAAAAAGGTGTGACACCACAGTGGGGCTGCTTGATGTCACGCCTCTCACACCAATTTTTAAGTCAAAGTCTTGTAGGAAGTTATACTGATCGGCCCTACCCTCATCATGAATGGTACTAATTATTCATGCTAACTCCATTTTGCGCGAATTTTGGAACGTCAACTCGAAATGCAAAAATTTGTCACCAAGAGGAATCGAACTAGGGACCCCCTTTTCTGGTATTCAGAGGGCCGTTCAGGAAAAATTAAACATGGTTCTGTGGTCCCCGCATCTGCCCCTATATCATGCAAAAGACCGTTTTCAAAAAGCTTGTCGTCACGCCCTGAAAAGACCTTCCTGGGTAAGCTGCTATTGTTTTTGATTAAACTTATAATCGAATCGAAATGATGACATATACCCTTCGCGGAGGCTTTCAGCAATTCATCTGTATCGCCGAAACGGAGCACACGAGCGCAAGCCTCTACACAAACGAATCAGTCATTCAGCGAATGAGGTACATTACTGAGCTCGAATATCCCACTATATATAATGCGCGATGTCTGTGCGTGTAAGTGTCACGGTGTCTGTCTGTCACGAAAATCCCTAGCTTTTTGGGATCCGCTCTCGAGAGACCGGGTCAAGTGTGGATGGGTGGTACAGGTCTCGAGAAGTACAAAACACACATCAGCTAGGCGGAGCCACGCCCACAGTGGGTGTGGCGTGCGTCGAAAAAGTGGAGTTATTTTATTATAGAGACTATATCAAAACAGCATCGAAACCGGGGGAAAAAAGTAGGTAAGCTGTGCTTGATAAGAGATCTGAATTAGGGAGACCCACCCCCGGTGGGCGGGGCGTTCTCCAAAAAGGCAGTGCTTAACAAAAAATTGATAATTCGGTTGGGAGAAACCCTACAGAGCAGAAAACAAATTGGTATAGGGGAGCGATGTCTAAGGTGCTCCCAGCATGCATGACGTGATCGGAGGCCCGCCCACAGTGGGCGGAGCGTGTCCTAAACTAGACAGCGTTTTCTACAAGTCCTCATAATTCGGTTCCAAGGAGTCTTAGAGAGCCGGAAAAAGTAGGATAGAGCTCGGAGAAGGAGTGGAGGTTAAATGTCAATGATGGGCGGGGCATGGCCGAAGTGGGCGGAGTTTGCGAAGAAAATTCATAACTCGGTTCCAAGAAGTTCTGGGGACCGGGGAGAAACATGAGGTGGTGGCACGACTGGACGCCTAAACTGCTATTGGTGGGCGGGGCAGGGCTAAAGGGGACGGAGTTATCTACGAGAGTTCGTAACTCGGCTCCAAAAAGTCCTATAGACTGGGAAAGGAGTGGACTGAGTTTGTCAACGAAAGGGAGGTCAACTGCTACTGGGGTAGGTTGGGTGTGCATCAGTGGGGGCGGGGTTTGCCCAAAATCAGTGATACACTTCCGAGAAGACTAGGGGACCGGGAAAAAAGAGAACTGGGACTTGTCAACGAAAGGAAGGTCAGCTGCTATTGGTGGGTGGGGTGCGCATCAGTGTGGTGCGGAATTGGTAGGACGGAATTTGTCACGTGACATTACAGGTATTTTCAAAGAGAGCCCAGAGGCTGGGAAAAGTGGATAAAGGTTGGCGAAGGAATGGGGTCAAATGCTGCTTGTGGCGCCACCGAGGATTTGCGGAGTTTCCACGGTGGGCTATAAAAATATCAATGGCCCTGTTTCATACCAATGCAGTCCCGTGTGATGCACGCGAATGCGTGCGCAGCTAAACTGGTATACTAATATGATGCTTGATGGGTCGAAGGGTATGAAGCGAGCAGTGGCAATGTTCAGAGTTAGAGATCATAAAAGTGAAATGCAAATAGACGAATAGCCGAGTAGACAGATGGGCGATTAAGGTATCGCGTGAAACGTTTATAAGGCTAGTGAAGCGAACCGATGTGTTTCTTCATTTCCGCGTATTCGCTTATTCGCCTGAGTCATCGACTCTGAACATTGCTTTGGCGGCTAATTATCCCAACCACCTATCCTATCCTGTTATTTGAGGACCTATAGTGTAGCTGGAATAAAAAACTGATATCAATGCTGGCAGCCTATACGTTTCCTCTGATATGAGGTCATTTTGGGGAACTATCAGACAGTCCTCCAGGACTGACAGATTGATACGCCAAGACTGTGGTTCACACAATGGATGAATACATAAATTCAAAAACAAACCGTTATAAATTGATGTCGTTGCTCTTTAATTTCGAAAGAGACTAGATAGGGTAGTCTCTTTCGATTAAGATTAAAGAGCAAAGGTAAAGGGTAAAAGGTGAGGAAATCTGGTGATGAACAAAATTGTGGACTCAGAGGGGGTTTCCACGATAAGGTACAGGTTGAAGAAGAAGAAATATACTTGGTCGAAAGGCAGGTGGGCCCCTAAGGGTGGAGGACGATGCGCGTATTGCAGCGAAGGGTATGCTCCAGCAGTCTAGCAGGCCCATACCCACACCGCTCGCGCCGCCCAGCCCTCGCCGTCTGGCTTTTTCCGTCTGGTAGGGAGAGCGTTAGCGTTAAACAGGACTGCACTAAGAGAGTCGCATCAATGCGCAAGTCGAAGGACAAAAAGGTTTTGGGTCGTTTCTTATGGTTTTTGCTTCTGACCTCC